AAAAATTAAATACACTTGTCACTTGGTATATTCCTATTTGTGCCGTGTTAACACGCTTTTTCAATATCGTATACCATTGTTGTTTTAACTAACCATTTTATGACCTAACCCAATTCAGATGAACATCAAGGTTCTTTTGCGTCGTAATAATTAATCAAAACGAATGAGACGCTTAACTTTTTTAATATACTGATTCTCTCACATAAATTTCATTTCTTCAGTATTAGCCAAACCCCGTCAGTAAGTAATCATGAAATTCTGAAAAAACCTTCTAAAGCACAAATTATCTTCCTAAAGTCGCAAGATATGGAATTGGAATTTCAAACATATTATTTTTGAATTCAAGGAGAAAACGAGTTTAAAATATAACTTGCCGACCTACTGTTACACAAATCTTAAAAAAGTTATACAATATCTTCTGCGGATGCTTTGCTAAAAAAAAATCCGACGAGTTGAAGGATAATTGTGGAATGATTCTATGCTTGTATTCTTCATGAGAAGAAAAATCCATCTACTATATTTAAAACAAAACAAAAATGTAATAACCAAAAGAAAAAGCTTTATATACAGTATTATTTAATTATATAGCTGATTAAAGATTTAAAAAGACAAAATAAAAGATTAAAAACCAAATATTAATTAAAAAGAATAAATAGAAATTTACCTAATGTTTTATATGGTATTTACTATGTAATCCTTCTATAGACTATAAAGTACAGCAAGGTGATACTTTTCATTAACATGAATAAATAAAAATTTATATATTAAAATAAAGCCTTTTAATACGACGTCGATTTATGCATTTTTAGGGGTTTACCTAATTATTATACTTATATTAACATTATTTTATTAATATTATTAAATAAAATATTAGAGCTTTGAACTTACCCAATGTCCTATATTTCATAAAATGTCAACAACATATATAGGTTCGAAATAGAAACATTCGAATCAATCTAATAAATAAAAAAAAAAAAAAAAAAAAAACAAAAAAAAAAAAAAACACCAAAAAAGCTAGAATATTAAATCTATTTAGCAACAATCTAAAAAACTACTTTTTAATTACAAGGAAATCTTTTTTCTTATAATGGTAAAACCGTCACTTCATAAATTTAATTATGAGGTATAATACAATTATGTTTTCTTTATTATCTGGTTAAACTAAATATTCAACTAAATCATTTGAAAACTATTGAGATTTATTTTTATGAATTAAATCAGTGATATAGTACTATAAAATGGCACTTGACTACTGACCTTGGATTCGAAGAAATTTCACTTATTAATTTAAATACAAAATTAAACCAGTTTCGTCGATTGAGCTTATTTATATTATATAATAGAAAAGGGGAAAAAAATTAATTTTACGTCAAATATGATTTTTAGGTTCATATTTAGCATATAATCTTATAAACCTTTTCTATTAAAATAATTCTTTGGAACGATGTAGTGTAAAGAACATATATTGTTCAAAAGAACAATCATAAACATTACATTAAAAAAATCTTTTCATTCACATTATTAAATCACAATTATTATACTTCATTGTTCCTATAATTAATATTAAAGTTTCACCAAAATTCTTTTTATTAAAACAACCTTTTATTTTAATGAGGTTTGTTTCAATATTTCGGTCATGCCGTTGGCATGCATTGTTATGTTTCTAAACCCGTTAAGTTTATTACTTGCATGGTAAGCTTAAGGCTGCAAGTAAAAAAGTATCCTAACTTTATTAGTTATTAACGTTAAATCGGTATTACTAACAAAATTTCAAGAAATTTAATAATAAACATTTTAAGGAAAAAAAAAACTAGTTAATTATATAGCAATTATTACACAAATAAATTGATAAAAGAAAAAAATGCAATTTCCAAGAACTGAACATAAGGATGAAGGTGTTTTTCGCGATGCGTGCTTGGTTTGAAAAGTGTCCACCAGCGAACTGGTAAAAAAACAAGGTCCATGAGCCACTGATAAGGCGGGCAATCGCTGTAGCAAGAACAAAATACGCCTTCGGCGATAACTGAACCTGCCCGAGTAAAAAAGCTAATATATTCATCGTGCCATTCCTATAATTAAAAGTAATGAGAAGTTAAGTATCTATCGGAACTCTTCAGAAATTGAAAAACTTGATCCAACTCACATTCGTTATTTCATCCACAATTACTGGAACAAGCTTATTATTACCATCAGATACTAAAATCTTGGTTTTTCCAGGAAGTAAATCTTTGGCAAACATGATAGATAAATTTTCATTGAAGACATAATGAGTGGTTGTGAGCCGTAAATGACCTAAA